GTTTAGGGTTAGGAGGTCTAGGGTTTAAGGTTTGGGGTTTAGGGTTAGGAGGTTTAGGGTTTAGGGGTTTAGGGTTTTGGGTTTTAGGGTTTTAGGGTTTTAGGGTCTTAGGGGCTTCAGGGGCTTCAGGGGTTTTAGGGGTTTTAGGGGTTGAGGGTTTTAGGGTTCTAGGGTTGTAGGGATCAAGGGATTTAGTGCTTGAGGGGTTAGGATGTTCCCGTTGAGCGCTGCTTTCGGGGGTTAAGTTGATTGCTGTCGCACGCCCTAAACCCTAAACCCTAAACCCTAAACCCTGAACCCAAAACCCTAAACCCTAAACCTTAACCCCAAACCCTAAACCCTAAACCCTAAACCCTAAAGGATCCACCCAAAGAAACAGCAAAACAAAAGGAACCGCGGGGGTGTGAGGGAGAGGGGGCGTAAGGGGCCTGATTCCCTAGTTTAGGGTTTAGGGTACAGGTTTCTAGTTCATGGTTGGGAAAATATTCAAAATTTAGAACCCTCAACCCTCAACCCCAGACCCCAAACCCTAAACCCGTCGGAATTTGAAATGTAGCCACAACAGGGATTTTCTTGAGATCGGCTACAATTCAAATTAGGGGGGGGTGGGGGGGGGGCTTGGGTCGTTTTGGGCTGTTTTTTTTTTTGGGGGGGGGGGTTTATAAAGGGTTTAGGGTAAGCCGGGGGGGGTGTGCAGCAACAACCACAGGATTGACTCAGGGCCGCCCCAGAAGACCCTGCCCCCTTTATATGCCCCCCCCGCCCCCCTCTCTGTGGAGACCAACACCATGAAACCTCAAGCTCGGAACCCCAAAACCGAAACCCCTGACTCTGTATACATTGTAAAAAAGATACAGACACACATCGCTTTATCAAAAGCCCGAAGGCTGGTTGCAAAGGCCAGAAGCCTGGAACGATGCCAAGCTGCTCCTCTTCACTCCACTTAGCTTCGACATACTCCCACATGTCGAGAACCAAAGTCCCAGAGAACCAGAACCACGGCCTGGCCGACATGCTGTTTAAGCTCACCTGCAGCTTTGCCATTTCCTCGAGGCAGGCCAGCTCGTAGGTGTTCGGCTGCTGGCCAGCTGCAGCATCCACATCCATGGATCCATCCATTGGGTTTAAGTAGCCTAAAAAATGTAAAATCTTACCCAACTATGACACAGGTTTAGGGTTTAGAAACCTGAAGTCCCGTAGAAACCACTCTGTACCCCATCAACCCCAGATGCCCCAGATTTCCTACAAGCCCTATAAGCCTTGTAGCAAGCGCCTAAAGCCCTGAACCCCCGAACCCTAAACCCCCAACCCTTACATGTTGTGAGCCCTGCAAAACCTAAACTGGCTGGCCTAAACCCTAAACCCTGAACCCTAAACCCTACACCCCAAACCCTAAACCCTAAACCCTGGCCAGGAGGCTGATTTTCAGAGCCAGGTCGACGCTACTCTGCCCATAGTTCATGACACCCCTCGGCGTGGTTGGGACTGCCCTAAACCCTAAACCCTAAACCCTAAACCCTAAACCCTAAACCCCAAACCCTAAATCCTAAACCCTAAACCCCTAAACTCCGAAAACCCTAAACCCTGCAGGCTCAAGGTTTGCGGTGCTTTCCAGAGAGGGATGGCTTCGGGTGCAGGCTTTCCGGGCATAAAAGTTGGGGGAGGTCGGTGGTTCTGGGTTAAAGGCACCCTAAACCCTTCTACATACACCTTCACCTTAAACAAAACCCTGCACCCTAAACCCCACTACCAACACTACCCTTGGAGTGCTAGACTTTCTTAGCCTTATATGCCCCTCATATACCCTATACAACCCAAGGGCCCATACATCAGAACTCCTTAAAGGAGGTACGGGACCAAAATAAGGGACCATGTAACTTCCCTAATCCCTAAACCCTAGACTACCCTTAGAGACTTAAGGAGAAGGCTTAATGGGATTTTCGGTGCACAAGTTGCCAAAGGGTTTGGGGTTTGGGGTTTGGGGTTTGGGGTCTGGGGTCTGGGGTCTGGGGTCTGGGGTCTGGGGTCTGGGGTCTCGGGTCTGGGGTCTGGGGTCTGGGGTCTGGGGTCTGGGGTCTGGGGTTTGGGGTTTGGGGTTTGGGGTTTGGGTTGGGGGTTGGGGTTTGGGGGTTCGGGGTTCGGGGTTGGGGGTTTTGGGGGTTTGGGGGTTTGGGGGTTTGGGGGTTTGGGGGTTTGGGGGTTTGGGGTTTAGGGTTTGGGGGTTTAGGGTTCAGGGTTTAGGGGACGTTTAAAGGCAACCCAGTCGCGTGGAGGTTCCAAGGAGCAGCCCCTGGAAGCCACTCTTCTCACGGCTCAGCATCTCGGTTTGGAAGAGCTCAAAGAGGCACCAGGACCTGAGCCGAATTGGGGGGGCTTTAGGGGACAAAGGGGTTTAGGGTTTAGGGTTTAGGGTTTGGGGTTTAGGGTTTAGGGTTTAGGGTTTAGGGTTTAGGGTTTAGGGTTTAGGGTTTAGGGTTTAGGGTTTAGGGTTTAGGGTTTAGGGTTTAGGGTTTAGGGTTTAGGGGGGGCTATAGGGGCTGTTGGAATAGCCTTGTGCAATAGTAAAATGGGTTTAGCGATTGGGGGTACCAGGACCTGAGTCGAATTGGGGGTTTGGGCTTTGGGTCCAAGTTAAGGGTTTAGGGTTTAGAGTTTGGGTTTAGGGTTTGGGGTTTGGGTTTTGGGTTCAGGGATCGCATAAACTTTGCCAAGATTCTGGGTATACCCACACCCTACAAACCCGAAACCCTGAACCCGAGTTTTAAGGCTGCGGCTCAGAACAATCCCCCAGATGTTTCCGAATTCCCTTTCAATATGACCCTGTATCGCTAAGCCCTCAAACCCCAAGACCCTCAAACCCTAAAACAATAAAACATCCTAAAGCTCTAAAACCCTAAAGCCCTAAAACTCTACAAGCCCTAAGACCCCACAAATCCGAAACCCCCAAAACCCCCAAGACTCCTCAAACCCAAAATGACAATGAGCCAATCTGGGCTAAGAGCTCAACAAATCCAAATTCCAAACCCTAAACCCTAAACCCTAAACCCTAAACCCTACACCCTACGCCCTACAACAAGAACAACCCTAAGACCCTTGAAACCATAAGAGACGATGAGCCAACGATCCCCCAAGGCCTGGTCAGAGGACCCTAAACCCTAAAAGCACCATAAACCGTAAACCCTAAACCCTAAAGCCCTCAGACCCTAAGACCCTAAGACACTAAAAACCCTGAAAGCCTCCTGAGACCCCAAAACCCTAGAACGACCCTCATACCCAAGAAGTCAATGAGCCAATCCGGGCCCAGAGCCTGGTCAGACCTAAACCCTAAACCCTAAGCCCTAAGCCCTAAACCCTAAACCCTAAACCCTATCCCCCGCGGAGGCCTGGTCAGAGGGAGGACCTCCTCGTCCAGCACCACCAGCGTACCGAGGCAAGAGCTGCCTTGGGAAGTTATGGGTACTGTAAACCCCAGAAAGGGTTTAGGGTTTAGGGTTTAGGGTTTAGGGTTTAGGGTTTAGGGTTTAGGGTTTAGGGTTTAGGGTTTAGGGTTTAGGGTTTAGGGTTTGGGGTTTAATTTAGGGTTTTGTTTTTTTGTCACAAGGATGTGGTGCTCAAACCCTAAACCCTAAATTAAACCCCAGACCCTAAACCCTAAACCCTAAACCCTAAACCCTAAACCCTAAACCCTAAACCCTAAAAACCCTAACCCTAAGCACATGGAATTGAGTGCCAAGATGCTCCTGAGAGCCAAGAAGAAGGAAGAGCTCTGCACCTTGGGCTTAGGGTGTTTTGGGGATTGGAGGGGTTTAGGGTTTAGGGTTTAGGGTTTAGGGTTTAGGGTTTAGGGTTTAGGGTTTAGGGTTTAGGGTTTAGGGTTTGAGGGGTCTTAGGGTTAGAGGGTTTAGGGCTTCAGGGTGTCAGTGTTTAAGTTTGTGGCTGCCTGGAGGCTTGTAAGCTAAGCCTTTTATAGTGTAGAACCCTTTTGCAGCAACGGGTCCTAGTTCAGAAATTACGTACCCACAGAACCCCAAAAGCAGGGGTAACATACGCCTGTAGGGAATTACTACCATAAGGGCAGCCCCAAAGATCCCAATGTTCAGGGCTTCGGGTTCAGGGTATAACCCTAAACCCCAAACCCTGAACCCTGAACCCTAAACCCTAAACCCTGAACCCTAAACCCTAAACCCTAAACCCTAAACCCTAAACCCTAGGCAGTGAAAAGCGCCTCATCTCCCAACTCCGCCGCCACTTGCCACTGGTTGTTCGCAAAGGTGCCTTGGGGGAATCGGACTCTAAACCCTAAACCCTAAACCCTAAACCCCAAACCCAAAACCCAAAACCCGAAACCCAGGCAGACCTCTGGCTCTCGGCGTTGAAGGGTTTGGGGCTTGGGGCTTAAGGTTTAAGGCTTAGGGTTCAGGTTTAGGGCTTCGGGCTTAGAAGTTAGGGTTTGGGGTTTAGGGATTCTGTAGTACCCCCACCAACCCTAGACACCGCTCAAAGCTCTGAGTGTTCAGTCTCAACGCGCTTTGTAGAGGACTCCGAGCCCCTGAGCAAAAACACATCTTGAGGTTGTAAGAGTTAGTCTAGGGTTTAGGGTTTAGGGTTTAGGGTTTAGGGTTTAGGGTTTAGGGTTTAGGGTTTAGGGTTTAGGGTTTAGGGTTTAGGGTTTAGGGTTTAGGATTTAAGGTTTAGGCTTTAGGGCTTAGGGTTTAGGATTCCTCCGCCCGAAAGGACCCCATATAGTGTAGAGAACAGACCAGACTGTACCCCAAGCCCTCAACCAAGACCAGGTTATCGGTGACCCAACGGTGTCCTACTGCCTGGGCCTCCAAGGGCAGTCCGTTTTTGGAGGTGCGGTTACAGTACCTGAGATTTTCTTGTGATAAAAACCCTACACCCTAAACCCTAAGCCCCCTCTCCCCCCAAAACAAAACAGAACAGCCCTTATTGAAACCCAAGCCGCGACCCTAAACCTATCCTCCATCGATAAGACAAAGAGGATAAAGCCAAAACACAACGAATATCAAACAACGATGCAATAAAATTAGAAATGTGAACTAGAAATTGAAAACAACAGTAGTAGCGACACGAATGGCAACAATCAAAAAGATAAGAACCATAAGAACAAGGGGAAAACAATGCTCGGCATAATGGGAACAAATCACAACAACAATGCGAAATAAAAAAATTAGCAACAATGACAATAATGACACGCGTGATGATACAATAGCGATGAAGTGGTTGGTGGCAATGACCATAAAGACAATAAGTAAGCGTCTTGTTTAAAATGATGATGGTGAACATGTTGATAATGATGATCATGATGGTAATCACGATACCGCTGAAAATCATGGTGACACTAAAAAGACACCAAAGAACAAAAACACTACTCACAACACTAATTAACAAGAACATTTATACATCTGATAACTACGACAGTGGTAGCCATAATTTATCACAGTGATGATAAGGTCAAAAAATCGACCAGCACAAATTTTGCCATAGGAACAGTAAACAACATAGTAGCAACAACAAGTACATGAATTTCAATAATCATAACACATAATAGATACATAACCGAGAGACAAATATGCAAATGCAGTGAAACCAAAATCAGGAGCTGCAAATTGCAGGCCCCGAGGTGCAGATCCAGTACGTGGTCATCCGGTCTGCAGCATGCATTTTCAAGCAATCCTGGGTCGGGTGTAGGGTTTAGGGGTTTAGGGCTGAGGGTTTAGGGTTCAAGGGTTAGGGCGTTTGGGGTCTTGGGGTCCGAGGGGTTTGGGGTTTTAGGGTTTTAGGGTTTAGGGATTTGGGGTTCACGGGCTTGGAGCTCCAAAGGTGTAGCTCCTGATTCCATAGACCGAAAGTATGTTGAAACAAGACACGTAGGCCAGCAAATGACGGAACTACAGCTGGCAGGGCAGGAACACGGGGATCTGTTTCCAGAAATTCCCTTGAACTCCTAACCCTTCAACCCGTAAGTCCATAACGTTTCTGTCCATCCCACAATCTCCTCGCAAGTCCTCTCCTAGCCTCAAAATCTCGAAGCCCAAAGCACGGCCTAGCGTCCAGGAAGTGTTGGAATGGCATGCCCCAGTAGTGCGAAACGAACCAGCGGACTGCAGCGGGCCCAGCCACCTCCGCATAGGAGAGTTTTACCTTGGTCTCGGCTTCGGGAAGTCACAACTCGGGCCTTATAAGGGCTCTAGGGTAGCGATGGTGGGTAACAGTGGGTGTGGCATAAGTTGCAGTACGACTTTTAACGAGCAGAACGCAGGCCTGGTCGGAATTCAGCCTCAGCCTACAGCAAGCACCTCGTTTACTCTGAGAGCTTCGCGCAGGGAGTTTGATGCAACTGCCGCTGTGGCAACAGTTTCGGGTTTTTTTATTTGCGGCGGAATAGTGATAGCAGTTGTATCTTGTACGCAGATACGCCAGAATCCCTTGAAAAATAGTTTCAGCAAAGCGACGCTAAATTTCAGTACGTTTTACGATCCCTTCAATACCATCACTCACCCACCAGCACCAGTTCCTACCAATCTCATCGTACGTGACAGTGGTGAACGAATAATATACTCATAATAGTAAAGTTAATACGCAGAGATTTACAGCCATAGAGTAAACGCTCCAACATTTCGGGTTGCGGGCTTGGCAACGGCCAAGGGGGCGAAAGAATGGGGTTTGGGGTTGAGGGCTGGGGGATTGGGGTTTAGGGCTGCGGGTTTGGGGCTTAGCGTTGAGGTTGGGGTTCAGGGCTGAGGATTGCCAAGCGCCGGTAAGCCACTTGGGCCGTCAAGGGCATGACGATGTTGCTGCAGAGATAGTACATGTTCCTCCAGGTCGCGGCTCACATCTCAACATGTCTTGTAGCAACCTTAATGCCCTGAACCCACCAGCCCTCTCACCTCTGTTGCTCTGGCATGGTAAACGCTGAACCCTAAACCCTAAACCCTAAACCGTAAACCCTAAACCCTAAACCCTAAACCCTCCGCACAGCCCTGGGGAGCTGTCGCCTACCTAAACCCTAACCCCTACATGGGGGTTTCCGAAAATCGGGGGGGGAGGGGGGGTGAGTTTTTGGTATTCGTTTTTATGTTGCGGTACAAAAGGGGTACCCCCCTATTTGGGGAAATGCCCAAAATTCCGAACCCTCAGCCCTAAACGGAACCCGGTGGGTGGGGGGTTCCCTAAACCCTAAACCCTAAACCCTAAACCCTAAACCCTAAACCCTAAACCCTAAACCCTAAACACTAAACCCTAAACACTGCGCTCAGTTGACAAATGCCGCACCCCAAGATTCCTTAACCCTCATCACCAAACCGGGGTCGCTGATCTCAAAAAAAACAAGAGCCTCCTGAGAAAGGGTTTAGGGTTTAGGGTTTAGGGTTGAGGGTTTGGGGTTGAGGGTTGAGGGTTGAGGGTTGAGGGTTGAGGGTTTAGGGTTAGGGTTAGGGTTTAGGGTTTAAGTCCCTAGTCCAAGACCCTACATCTTCCAAGCTAGGGGTTTAGGAGTTTAGGGTTTAGGAACCCTTTGTGTCATCTGTCCTCTGTCCGATATAGGCGCTGAAGAACTCGTAGAGGTCCTGGATGCTGCCCAAGCGTAGTCCTGCCAAAGGTTGACTGCTGTGCGGATGAGAGACTTCAGGTGTAAGCCCTAAACCCTAAACCCTAAACCCTAAACCCTAAACCCTAAACCCTAAACCCTAAACCCTAAGCCCTAAACCCTAAACCCTAAACTCTTTAGGAGCTTTGGAGAGTGGATGGTCTGTTTGTTTTTGAAGGAGCTCAAGGTTTCCCTACGGTGCTTGGCGCTGCTTCTTCTTGCAGTTCTTCTGTGCTAAGGTTTTCTATTAGGGTCCTGATGCCCTCGACGACCAAAACTGGTTTCAGGGTTCAGGGTTTCTTAGTAGCCCAGTAACCGTATGATAATAAGGGCACCCTTTTTTGGTCGGTTACTTTGCAAGGGAACCAGGCCCAAGAAAAAAAGGGATAAGGGTACCACTGGGCTGCCAAGGTTAAGGGCAACCCCAGATCCCAAAAAAACACTGAGCCATCGCCTTTAAACTAAACCCAAAGCTCATCTCGTCCCCGTCTGACACGAACATCACCTAGCTTCTAGCTTGCAGGTTATGTGGGTCAAGAAAGGTTCTGGGTTTCAGGCTTTAGGGTCCTCGTCGAAAATCATGAGTTTGGGCCTTCAATGCCTCTGAACAACATGTCCCTTTTAGGGTTTAGGGCTTGGTGTTTAGGGTTTGGAAAAAAACCTCTTAGTGCTGACCTAGCGGGCATTCTCTAAGGGTTGATACATTGTCCCTCAATGTGGTCCCTTACCTTTCTGGGCCCTTGGGTTGCATAGGATACATAAGCGGTATATAAGGGGTCGGGTCCCCTTCGACCGGGCCATACTAAGGGTCCATGTAACTCCTATACTCCCCTTAGAACCTTAATGAAAATAATATTTCAATATCCTCTTGGGTTTTACATGAACAAAAACATAAAATAATTCCCAAGGGGGATATAGACTCCCCTAGACCCTCGGGCAGCCTCGTTCTGGCCCTTTCGGGCAGGGCGTGGGGGTGTGACTGTCGCGCAGACGTGCTCCGAAGGCGCGGAGATCTCGGCTCAGTGTCTGCTTGGTCCTGAAGGGCACTGCACTGGACGGCTTTTTGAGGGTTTAGAGTTTAGGGTTTAGGGTTTGTTTCTGTTAGTTCTGCTAGTATGGGCGTATGGCAGTCAGATGAAGAAAGCAATAAGCCCTAAACTTGATAGACCCTTAACCCACAACCGTCTCTTTGAAGGAATGAACGCCGCCAATCCCTAATTCCTTACTTCACCATAGCGTCGCCGACTTAAGCCCGAACACCCGAAGCAGGAAATGCCTGGAAGACCGATGCTTCCCAACATCCATTTTTCATAACATTGACAAAAACTTTTGCAGTCATACCCTAAACCCCGCACCCTAAACCCCGAACCCTAAACCCCAAACCCTAAACCCGAAGCCAAGAGGCGGGTGCGCCCAGCGGTGGACTAAAGCTGCCACCAGGCCACCTCTGGGTTGGTTTAGGGGTTTAGGGTTTAGGGTTTAGCGTTTAGGGTTTAGGGTTTAGGGTTTAGGGTTTAGGGTTCAGGGTTCAGGGTTTAGGGTTTAGGGTTAGGGGCTTGTAGGGCTTCAATGCAGGTTTGGGGTGCTCTTCCGCTGCATAAACCCTAAACCCTAAACGGCAAACTGCCAGGAACTCCCCTAAAGACACAGAGACAGAAACCATCTGCACCTATGCCCCCGAAACGTCAAACCTGAACCCAAAACCCTGAACTAGGGTTTAGGGTTTAGGGTTTAGGGCTTAGGGCTTAGGGCTTAGGGCTTAGGGCTTAGGGCGTAGGGCTTAGGGCTTAGGGAAACGAGGGTTTAGGGTTTAGGGTTTAGGGCTTAGGGTTTAGGAGGGTTTAGGGTTTAGGGTTTAGGGTCTAGGGTCTAGGGTCTAGGGTCTAGGGTCTAGGGTCTAGGGTCTAGGGTTTAGGGTTTAGGGTTTAGGGTTTAGGTCTTAGGAAAACCCCCAGCCGCCTAGTAGGATCATGACCGCATCGAAGGCAACGACGCCCAACGCAAGGAAAGTCGCCGACAGGGCTGAGGCCGCAATGCCCAAGCAAGCCAGGAAGGGCAAGCCGAGTACACCCCTGGGGTTTGGGGTTTAGGGTTTAGGGCTAGGGTTTAGGGTTCAGGATTTAGGGTTTAGGGCTCAGGGTTCCCCAATAACCTTGCAAATATCCTTGGAAATAGGCGATTGTGGGCCTTACCCTGAGGTCAAAACGTCCCTAAACTTACAGCCCTAAACCCTAAACCCTAAACCCTAAACCCTAAACCCTAAACCCTAAACCCTAAACCCTAAACCCCTAAACCACAAATCCGCCGAGGCCTTGGGCCGCAACTCAGGGACCAGGTTTGCACCCCCTTTGTTTTGCACTTTTTGGCCTGACATGGGTTTAGGGTTTAGGGTTTAGGGTTTAGGGTTTAGGGTTTAGGGTTTAGGGTTTAGGGTTTAGGGTTTAGGGTTTAGGGTTTAGGGTTTAGGGTTTAGGGTTTAGGGTTTAGGGTTCCGGGAGCAGACGGTGCATCAGGAGCAGACGGTGCATCAGGAGCACTTCAGCCTGCCATAGGGGCCGCCACCCGCCTCGCCACCTCCCTCCTGCTCTGCCTGCCGCCTTACCCCCCCCACCCCCTCCCCCCACCAGTGGAACCATTGGCCTCCAAGCCCTGTGTCACCTCCCCCACCCCACCTGCCCCCAGCCCCCTGGTTTGGGTTGCCCTTGTTACAGAAGCTCAGGCCGAGGCGGGTCGCGTAGCGATAAAATTAACCACCGCAAACCCCAAAGCCTCAACTTAACAACGTTTCAGACAAACCCCAAACCTTAAACCCCAAAAGCTTTCATGTCCAGCATCCTCCTGAGCAGGCTATCAAGGCGGTGAACATAGCAGGTACCCTGCGATGCATCAGCCGGAACCGACACAGCCGTTCCTTCAGGGCTTTTTGGGATAGAGGGTTTGGGGTTTAGGGTTAGGGTTTGGGGTTTAGGGTTTAGGGTTTAGGGTTGAGGATTTGTGATTGAGGGTTTTGGGGCTTCAGTTCAGGGTGTTAGGACTTGGATGCGGTTCGAGGTTCCGAGGATTGCGAGCTTTTTGGGGTTTGGAGGGCCGGTTCGAGGCATTGTCCAGTGCAACGTTGGATCATTGAACCCCAAATGATTGGGGTCTAGGGTTAGTGTTGATGGTCCGGAATGCTTGGGGTTTAGGGTTGAATTTGGGGCTTATAGGGTTAGGGGTTTAGGGTTTATAAGGCTCAGGGTTTAGGGTTTAGGGTTCGTTCTGCGTGTCTCCTTTCCGGCCGGGAAAACACATGCGAAAAGCTACTTACAGGGAGGGAACACCACACCTCCCCCTGTACTATGCCCGCTACGTTAAGGAAGGGCTGTATAACCTAAGCAGTAGGACGCAGAGCCCACGAATAAGGGCCATCCGAAACTGAAAACCTACCTATTCCTAAACCACAAACCCTAAACCCCAAACCCTAATGCTTCATAACACCCAAACACCTGAACCCTAAACCCCACCCCCAAACTCTAGACCCGAAACCCCGAAACCCCAAGGCCCCCCAAATAAGCCCTAAATCCCGAACCCCAAACCGGAACCCTGCACCCCGAACCCTAAGCCACAACTAAATGGGTGGTTGTCAAAATTATGGTCCCTTTTTGGGTACCTTAGATTTTAGGTGCCGTATTATAATGGGGACCCAAAAAGGGACCATAATTTTGACAACCAACTAAATTCTAAAACCCCAAACCCTCAACCCTGAAACCCCTACGCCCCCCAAGCCCCTAACCCTAGTTGCTGAGTACCCTGGGGAAAACATGGGCAGCATTCTATACACCCCAAAAGGTCAAACAAACGTTATCCCCTAAACCCTGAACCCCGAACCCCGAACCCTGAACCCTAAACCCTAAACCCTAAACCCCACTACTAAGCAACCCAACCCACCCTGGGCTGCAGTGGATCCTTGCATGTCGCAGACGATCAGCTGGCGGTCATTCTGCGCCTTCGCGAGATACTGGGTCGAGTCCTTAGTCTCCCCAAAAAAAAGGCACTAGGGTTTAGGGTTTAGGGTTTGGTGTCTGGGGTTTAGGGTTTAGGGTTTGGTTTAGGGTTTAGGTTTAGGATTTAGGGTTTAGGGTTTAGGGTTTAGGGCTTCGGGTTTGAGGTTTGGGGTCTAGTTTAGGGTTTGGGTTTAATTTGTGGTTGCGGGGTACAGGGCTTCGCCCGTGCGGAATGGGTCTATCCGGAACCCAGCCTACACTTTTTTGAAAATAGGAAACATGCACCCACTAGCGACGATTGGGTTCAACATGTCATACTATGGACTTTCGAGCAAAAATGCAATAATATAGCAACTGGGATCTAACTCGCCTTGTCCTCCACAAAATTCCTGCGTCGAACTCGTGGCACTCGTGCTTGCATTCACCCACGGAAATTGTGAGGTTCGCAAAATGCCTTCAATTGGGGTGGCTGGTTGGCTGCTTTACCTGCAAGCCTGAACGAGACAGCAAATCAGCGAATTTGACGCACATTCACCGGTTCCAGATCAAAACCCTAAACCCTAAACCCTAAACCTAAAACCCTAAACCCTAAAACCCTAAACCCTAAACTGCCCTTCCTACTTCGAAGCAAGGGTTTAGGGTTTAGGGTTTAGGGTTTAGGGTTTAGGGTTTAGGGTTTAGGGTTTAGGGTTTAGGGTTTAGGGTTTAGGGTTTCGGGCTTCGGGTTTCGGGTTTAGGGTTTAGGGTTCAGGGTTTAGGGTTTAGGGTTAGGGTTTAGGGTTTGGGGCTTAGGGCTTAGGGCTTAGGGCGTAGGGCTTAGGGCTTAGGGCTGAGGGTTTAGGACTACAGCAAACTTGCCGAAACTTGCCGGTTCCGGGTCCATGTCAGAAACCAGCAATATTGCCATGCATTCGCTTCCCTGGCGTTTATAAGGCAATAATATGGGGGCTTCCAAAATTAGGGTGCCATATGGGGGTCCTTCTTACGCAAGAATCCTACTATGTGGGGTCGATATTCAGGGTCCCTTTTTGTCGGGAACTCCCATATGAAACAACTTGTCTACCTCGATTGTTCGCCAACCCGAAAAATTTAGACTTGACCTCCCCAAACCGTGTTAACTCTGACCTGCGCTCGTTTGGGAGGTTTAGGGTTGCGGGTCTAGGGTTTAGGGTTTCGGGGCTTAGGATTTTGTGGTTCACGGCCACCACGATTTCGGGTTCTTACGCTGATGTTCAGGGTCGCACTTGACTGATGCTGCGAAGAAAAAAGTCGTTGCGCACCTTGAAAATAGAAAATGGGGTGCTGGTCGATCAGAGAGTCCAACAGTGGGTGCCCGGTCTCTTTGAAAACCACCCTGGCTGGCCGCAGAAGCCTAGGTAGATTTACAGGAAGGGTACCCTTTTTTGTGGGGTATAGGGTTTAGGGTTTAGGGTTTAGGGTTTAGGGTTTAGGGTTTAGGGTTTAGGGGTTTAGGGGCTTAGGGGTTTAGGGTTTAGGGTTTAGGGGGTTTAGGGTTTAGGGTTTAGGGTTTAGGGTTTAGGGTTTAGGGTTTAGGGTTTAGGGTTTAGGGTTTAGGGTTTAGGGTTTAGGGGCCACCAAGAAGCCAATGACGTCCACGTGTGGTCAGGGTTAGGACTCCTTCCTTCAGCTGCACGTCTTCCACGCACATGGAACCTGTGCTGAACTTGGAGCCCTAGGAAAAGTTATACTCTTAGCTGTTCCTTTAGGAGTTAAAGTACCCCTAAGGCCTAAACCCTAAACCCTAAACCCCAAACACTAAACCCTAAACCCTATATCAACCCTAAACCCTAAGCCCTATTTCCAAGTATCCCCCAAGGAGCGATATGCCAAGTGGGGCAGGACGGCAAAGAGCAAGAAGGACAGCAAGAGATCAATGCCGAACGCTGGTGCATTCCTCGGATGGCCCTTAAAGGTTTAGGTTTAGGGTTTCGGGTTTAGGGTTTAGGGTTTAGGGTTTAGGGTTTAGGGTTTACTATGACCCAAGAAGGGGCAAAAAAGAAATATCCGAAGGGCCTACCGAGATGCAGGAGGGATGCATCGCAGCCGGTTCTGTCGGCTGTGACGACCATACCTGGGCTTTGGGGGAAGCTGCAGGAAGCTTGAGGAGCCCCGCTCATGCTGTGTCTGTGTTTCTAAAGGGCTTAGGGCTTAGCCTGGGTTTAGGGTTTAGGGTTTAGGGTTTAGGGCTCAGGGTTTAGGGTTTAGGGTTTAGGGTTTCGGGTTTAGGGTGTAGGGTGTAGGGTGTAGGGCTTAGGGTTTAGGGTTTAGGGCTACCTATGCAAGTTTGGGAACTTGTACCAGCACAAGCAACAGCAATTTACCACCGTCCGGTCGGGGTGCGCCACCAGAGCGCTTTGCAGGGAAGGCACTCGCTGCTTCCTAGGCCCGGGAGTAACCTAGGAATAAAAAGGGTGCCCTTGTTGGTTTTAAGGGGAATCTAAGGGAACCCTAAACCCTAAACCCTAAACCCTAAACCCGAAACCCCAAACCCTAAACCCTAAACCCTAAAAAAGATTAATAATAAAAGGCCTACTCCCGGTCCTAGCTTCCGTATTCAGCAGCGTAGTTATTTCCGTCGCAGCGGTTGCAAAATCTCTGAAGGCTCAGCTGGCCAACAAAGGAACCTTACTCTTTCGGTTTAGGGTTTAGGGTTTAGGGTTTAGGGTTTAGGGTTTAGGGTTTAGGGTTTAGGGTTTAGGGTTTAGGGTTTAGGGTTTAGGGTTTAGGGTTTAGGGTTTAGGGTTTAGGGTTTAGGGTTTAGGGTTTAGGGTTTAGGGTTTAGGGTTTAGGGTTTAGGGTTTAGGGTTTAGGGTTTAGGGTTTAGGGTTTAGGGTTTAGGGTTTAGGGTTTAGGGTTTAGAGTTTAGGGCTTAGGGCTTAGGGCTTAGGGCTTAGGGCTTAGGGTTTAGGGTTTAGGGTTTAGGGTTTAAATTTAAGGTTTCAACAGCGGGGGAAAGCCGAACAAACCCTAAGAACCCTAAGATCCCGAAGTATACACTCCGAACTCCGAACATCCTGAGTTTTCCTACAAAAGTAAGGACGCCCCCCTCCACCAAAAAAACAGCAAACTAGCTATAAAATCACATAAGAAACCCTAAACCCTAAACCCTACACCCTACACCCTAAACCCTACACCCTAAACCCTAAACCCGAAACCCTAAACCCTAAACCCTAAACCCTAAACCCCAAACCCTTGCTATGTCGCAGTCAGGAGCCTGGCTCACAATCCTCGCAGCGTAGGAGGGATCCCTGTACAAGCCTGGACTTGCAATGGGGGGCGGCATGTTTCCCTGGAAGCCCTAAATCCTAAACCCTAAACCCTAAACCCTAAACCCTAAAGGTTCCTAGAGATCCTAATAGGGAGTTAGAGGGCTTAGGGCTTAGGGTTTAGGGTTGTCTTGAGACTTCTGTTGCCAATTTGTAGATCAGATGGAAGAAGATTCCCGAAATCCTAAACCACAAACCCGAAACCCTAAACCCTAAACCCCAAACAATAAACCTCAAACCCTAAACCCTAAATCCTAAACCCTACATCCTAAACCCTAAACCCCAAACCCTAAACCCTAAACCCCCCAATGCAAAATCTCGGCACTTCTTGCCAGGCGGGCAGAAGCCCTCCTCGCACCGCACTCCAGTAAACGGGGTGCTGCAGGTGCACGCGCCGTTTCCGTAGACGTTCATCCGAGGGCCATCTAAGACGGTGCCTCTTGGGGTTTGGGGTTTAGGGTTTAGGGTTTAGGGTTTGGGGTTTAGGGTTTAGGGTTTAGGGTTTAGGGTTTAGGGTTTAGGGTTTAGGGTTTAGGGTTTAGGGTTTAGGGTTATTTGGGCAGCACATCAGCACATCACAAGCCACAGACCCCACATGACACCGCACGTCTAGCAGCAGACCCCAGATGACCTCGGTAGAACTTAACCCTGCTCCGGCTAAACCCTATGTCCCGAAACCCTAATTATAAGCCTTTTTGCTTTCTGTCTAGACCCAAAGCCCTGAAACCTTAAACCCCCCCACCCACCCTAAACCATAAAATCTAAACCTTTCCATCATATATGAATTTAAATACCTTAGTGAAAGCCTTAGTGATCTTCCTGGACAAGACACACATCTTCGTGGGCAAGGCACACAGGCCAAAACTTCGTGAGGCGCAAATCTTCGTGGGCAAGGCACAAATCTGCGTGGGCAAGGCACTAATCTGCGCTGGCAAGGTGCATATCTTCGTGGGCAAGGCACAAATCTTCGTGGGCAAGGCACAAATCTTCGTGGGCAAGACACAAGTCTTCGTGTGCAAGTTCCGTTTTGAGGCTTTATGCCTTTGAGGCGTGTGGTGAAGCGCCTAGGGAATGGAGTCTAAGGTTTCTGGATTGAGTGAAACCCATATGTTTTCTTAATGTCATGGGATCCTTTGGGCAGGTGGGTATACTCCCGTCGCTTGACAAGCTGCTTGACTAGTGAAAGGTCGAACGTGAAATGCTGAACTCTAAACCCTAAACCCGAAACTCTAGACCCCAAACCTCCCCAAACCTCCCCAAACCTCCCCAAACCCACAGTCATCCAGCCGCAGCCTGCCTCTCGCAAGGGAATCGTCGCCGCAAGTGCCGCGGCCAGAGCAGGCCTCTGTGTCTGGCACTCCTGCCAAGAGTACACTGCACGCCCGAGCCTAACCCTAAACCCAAAACCCTGAACCCTAAACCCTAAACCCGAAACCCTAAACCCTAAACCCTAAACCCAAACATTCAGGACCTCTGCAATATACCCAAACATATGAGATTCCCGCGTTGAAAAGATAGCCCAAATGAAAAAAATCCCAGCATGCGATTCAAACTCCATCCTTGGCAGCCCTAAACCCTAAACCCTAAACCCTAAACCCTAAACCCTAAACCCTAAACCCTAAACCCTAAACCCTAAACCCTAAACGCCAGTGCTCAGTGGTTTTCATCAGCCGATCCTGGGCACGCCGAGCACTTCCTTATGATCTCTTCTGCTGGAACTGAAACCTGGAAAGGGTCAGAGTCTAGGGTTTAGGGTTTAGGGTTTAGGGTTTAGGGTTTAGGGTTTAGGGTTTAGGGTTTAGGGTTTAGGGTTTAGGGTTTAGGGTTTAGGGTTTAGGGTTTAGGGTTTAGGATTTAGGGCGGGTCTTCGGATGTTCTGAGGGTAGTTTCATGGGCCCTTAATATGGTCCCTACCCTCCCTTAAAGGGTTCTGATGTATGGGCACAGGTTTAAGGGTCAAGAAACCGCAAAGAGTTCAGGGTGTAGGATTCTGATGTTCCCCCGTATACCAACAGTCCTTAAAACCCTAAACCCTAAACCCTAAACCCTAAACCCAAAACCCTAAACCCTAGACTCTGACCCTCCCCTAAGTTTAGGATTTTGCACCCAAAGCCCCGAAGGGTGCATAGGTCCTAGCCACCAAGGAACATTCAAAAACTATTTAGGGCTTAGGGTTTAGGGTTTAAGGTTTAGGGTTTAGGGTTTAGGGCTTAGGGTTTTTAACGTTAAAAAACCTTAAATTCCACCGAGGAACATTGATCTTCAGTGGATCGAAGTATCCCCGGCTGCAGGCGGAGCAATCCGACAGAGAGTGCCCGACAAAGCAGGTGCAAACGCCCAGGGAAAGGCTGCATGCACCGCCTTTGGGCTCAGGGTTTAGGGTTCAGGGTTCAGGGTTTAGGGTTTAGGGCTCAGGGCTTAGGGCTTAGGGTTTAGGATTTTGATGTAGGGGCAGATACAAGAACTGTGGCTGGAAGGACCTACCTTTAACAAAACATGACGGGTGTGGAGGTCAGGCCTTACACAGTGTCATGGCGTCCAGAATACACTACACCCGAAACCCTAAGCCCTAAACCCTAAAACCTGAACCCTGAACCCTAAACCCTAAACTCTAAACCCAA